TGGCGGCGCCGTCCGCCTGAGTGACCTGGCCGCTCACAGCCGAGTTGAACCCCGGCAGGCCGCCCGAGGAGGCCTGAGCCCCTGACGCCAGGGGCGTGTTGGTGTGGTAGTGCACCGGCGCGACCATGACGACGACGACTGCGTGACGCGCCTACACGGACGATAATCGGGGAGACGAGAGAGGAAGAAGAGGCAATGGGGAAGAGACGCCGGGAGCACAAACCAGCAAGAATGTCAATGCGTCGGTGAAACCAATAAGAGAAGAAGGATGGAGACAAAAAGAGAGCGGACTAGCACGCCCAGTCGACAGAAACAACGTCAACGATACGACTGTGTCGAGGATCGTGAAGGACCAGTACAACCGCGTCCAGGAGAGGGCGAAAGAGGCAAGAGAGGGCGGTGAAGAGGGTGAGCGTTTCTCAGGTCAGACGAATGGAAACCACGCCGTTTGACGCGGAACCTGCGCGACATCCTCCGATGATTAGTTCTTGCTCGTACGCCATATATATATATCGATGAACACCGGGCCTTGCATCGGCACCGCTCGCTCTGGACAAGGCCGTGAGGCAGTGAGTGAGATGCCGAAGCAGCCCGACGCCACCTAGGCTGCCACAGCTGGCCCTCCCGCCAGACAGCGACTGAGCAGACGCTATCGCCGCGAGCGGAAAACGCCGCCGCCCCCTCCAAACAGCCCCTGGCGTCGCCCTACATTGGCGCACACTGCCGATGCCCTGCTCCCCGAGGCTCACGATGGGGGCAGCCGCCAGCCGTGCTGAATCGCTGCTCCGGCGCGGCCCCGGATGGATGGGCACTCGGCCACAGCGGTCGGCTAGCCTCTCTGCTTAAGACCGGCACTCCATCGTCGCAACAAAGACCGGTCCGCCCGGCATGGGCCGGGCATGAGCGGTGGCAAAAAAGGTCCGCGCCATCCAGCGAGAACTCGGCGGTCCGCCAAACTCAGCACCGACCACGCTCACAAAGCTCGTGCATGCGTTATCGGGTCTCAGCGTCATAGCGGGCTATCGCGGAGGCAGCGCGGTGGGCCTCAATCCAGATGTCTGAGGGATCGGACTTCCCCCTACCTATCCGCGCGTCAGAAACGGGGTTCAGTTTTTCTTTTCTTTTCTGTGCGCATCGCAGCATGACACAAGAGCGCGAGTGTACGGTGAGACGGAAGTTTGCCGATTCACGGCCGCACCAACTGGCGGCTAATCGGACATCAGCGGGGCGGTCGACGGCGAGCAATAGTCTTGAGAAGGGCAGGCCGAAAAAAAAGGGGGGTAGCAGCAGAGTGCGCAGGAGCAGTGCGTGGCAATGCTGGACTTCAAGAGGCACCGGGCCATCAGCTCCTCCTCCTCAGTCTTTGCAGGGAGGAAGGCATACACCTTCACAACTCAGCTGCACGATTCTGCAGTCCAAGCCGGGCCGCAATTTTGAGTCGGCCGGGAGCGAAGGCTTCTCCTCGACTGTCCGTGCGATTGCGCCCGGCGTTTTTGAAGCGCGCCGGCCTGAGCCCGTGCCTCAACCGGCATCGCCGTGGGGCGATGCTCCCCATTTGAGAAAGAGACGAAAGAACCGGAGCTGAGGAGCAAAGGGTCCGATCCCACAGCCGATGATGGGGTCGATGGCGGCCGCCACTCGGCATCGCCTCAGCATCCTTTTCCCCTCAACTCCGCGCTACATGGAGAGAAGCGGCCACAGAGTTGCTCAGTAGGGGACAAGGCTCGACGCTCCCGAGGGGGCAATTGTGAAAGCGCGCCATGCGCCTTGATTCAACTCAGCATGGTTGCGCGCGTTGGCGCGAGCTCACCACGTCGGAATCGCGGCCAGACAAGATTGATGCGCCGTTGCGCATTGCAGCCGCCCATCGGCGTGTTCGGCGTGTGCGTGGGCTGCACACTCGACCCCAAGACAAGAGGTCAGGCCGGATGTCTAATTACTCCATCAAGGACGCAGAAGGATAGATGGGAGAGAGGTCGAACTTCGAACATGAGCTAAGCCTTCAACGAAGGACGTGGCAACCGAAAAAGGCGCGTGCCATCACGAAACAGCCACAGGAAAAGGTCCGGCACGAGCATCACCTTCTGGCAGGGTAATGACATAGCCTCCCTGTCTAGTTCCTCCTTCAGCGGCTCCTGCTAGCTGGCTACTCATACAAGAGGCACTCAACCAGTCGTGCCTTTCATTCTTGATGTCTATCAAGTGCGGCCCCCACATCCTTGAAGATCGCGCAGCGGCACCCTTTTCATTTTTTTTCCAGTCAAAGCGAGTGAGATGACTGCTCTCTTCCCGACAAGACCCAGCTTGAATGTGTCTCCGCTGTGTCTCCGCTTGAGTATCGATACGATGGGAGCGGAGTTTTTCCTCCAGTGGAGCAACGTCCGATTCCGCCCCATTCAAAACGGAGCTTTCAAAGGGGGGTGCCATGGTAGGACGACTCGCCCGTAGGTGGCCTAACAGACAAAAAAATGAAAATGAGCAAAACGAGAAGGAAAAAACTCACCAACAAGCTGCGGAGGCGGGAACGGCGCTGGATCCCCTTGGAGACCCTGTACCCGTCGTTGGGTCTCCTCTGCCCACTCCTGTTGGCTCAGGGGCCATGCATGCGCTTTCACAGTCGACTCTTCAGAGGCTAGGAGGACGCAAGCTGGATGGCGTGTGCTGTTTGAGAAGGCCTCATCTGTCGGGGCCACTGATGGCCCTGCTGGCGGGTAGCCCCGATTTAGGGTTCACTTGGAGTTGACTGTTGCGTGACTGTGCGACCCGAAGGCGGTCAGCATGCCATGCAACGCTTTTTTTTTGTGGTGTACCCCTCGCTCGCTGGGACCCCGCCTTCATGGGGTATCGCTCACCCCATGAAGAGGAATGTTCCGACTGCTCTCTCTCTCTTCTGTTTTCAATCCAATTCTCTCGCCGTAGTTCAGTAGCTGCGCTTCATTGTGACCTGAGCAGGGGCGATATGCGTCTCCACCCATCGCGCCCTCTTGCTCATCGTCGGCCCAGGCTCTCGAGGATGCACCCGCTCCACCCCTTCTACCCGGCGTATTCGCATAGGTGCTGTCGTTCACACCTTTTGCCAGCCCTCCCGGTGATCGAAACCCTGCGGCAATCTGAATCGAGCGTCTGACGCCCTTGCGATGCTCTGCTCTGCTGCGATGCTTGATTGTCCCCCCGAAGGAAACTGATGGTGCCTGCGCAACACGGAATGCTTTCGATGCGCAACTCACCTAAGCGATGGAGGTGCGGTGATGCCCACCATACCCCGAGCGGCTAAGAAAAAAAAAAAAAAAAAAACAACAACCCTGGAGCGAACCCTTCTTTTTTTACCGCATCTGTCGATAGTCGCGACGGAAGAATCGGGTTCGCGCCTGATTCTCGTCTGGTGGTCATGAAATCTGAACCAGACAGTTCTCTCGTGGTGACGCCTATATCCCCTTGGAAACATCGAGGCTCTTCCTTGAGACGTCCTAACACGAACGCCATGCCCTCCTTGACGCACCCCAGGAGTCCCCTACAGAGCAGTTTGCATCCGGTTTGTCGGTGGATGAGCTCGCCGACCACGGGCTGCAGTGGGGCTTGCCCGGGGATGTGGCACAGCGCCGCAGGTCTGATGGTGAGAGCCAGGTCAAGGGTGAGGCCAGGCGGCGTTGGATGTTCAACGCGGCATTGAGATCGCGGTTCACGAACTTGCCGTTAGTGGCATCGCAACTGATCGATAGATAGATAGATAGATAGATAGATAGATAGATAGGCTAACTTCGGCCCCACAAACCCTCCGGCATCCGCAGTCCATTGATCACGGCTGGAATCGCTTTGCACGCGTGGCTCGCCGGGTTTGCCCCGCGAAAAATTGGCCTATATGTGCTTCCATCCGTAAGCGGCCCCCTGGTCCTCCGCCGCAAGATCAAGTGCCGCCCGCGCAGCAAGACGGGATGTGCCCGATGCGCTCTTCGGCACGCGGCAACTCCAAAACACAACATCGTTTGCACCACGGATAGTGGCATGTGACGATCTCTAGTATGGGTGAGTCCAGCCGCGCCATGTTGGGGATATTAGTGAATCCACCGTCGGCCGATCGAGCCACGCCGTGGACGCATGCCGCCTCAAAGGGCATCCAAGCTGTGGAAAAGGGATCAATATAAACCAATGAGGCACACGGCGTTCATGCTGGTACTGTCGCTGAAGAACGTCAAGCAGCGTATTTACTTGATAAAAGCCGGGACATCTAAGCGAGTAGCTGCCCATCGTGACAGAATTTTAGTAGCGAGGAGGCGGCCCAGGCTCGTCTTGTCCGAAATGACCCTTTCTCACGGAATGCCAAATACGTACGCGTAGCTTCTGGGACCCCTCGGAACCTTCTGACGAGACGGCACGGACACCCTCAACCACGTAGTACGCCATACGTTCCTCGTCCGCCGGTGCCGGGGGGCTGCTGCGCTGCCGTCCTGCAACGTGGTACCGGCCCGCAGGCGGTGGTCCACGTTATGACCATCGAAACCCCACCTGCATGCATAACCTGCTGAAGGACCTCGGAGTAGTAACCTGCGACAAGACATTCGTGGACATGGCCGCAAAACAATAGGCGGCTAGCCTGGCTGTTAGCAAGCTTTTTAAGGGTCAGCCTTCCCCCCTCCCCGACCAGAGCCCCTTGGCAGACATCACTGCTTTATCCCAAGTACAACCCAAGGGGTGGGGGGTGGGGGTGGGACGGCGGACCCAACAAAATAAAATCACGTGGGGAGCTTTACATCGATACACCTTCGATGACGCGGTATGCCAACCCATTTCATGCAATCGGTTAAGTTAGATTCATTTCATTCAATTGCGCCATTGAAATGGTCATATGGCTCGGCTATAGTAAGAACCACGAAGAATGAACGATGGCCAAGAATACTTGAAAAGCCATGACGGGTATCAAAAGTGGAAACCGTGAGCGCTCAACGAATGAGCTAATACATCATAGCTGGGATTTCTGCCACCAACATGGTTGCCAAATGATAGGGGACAACCGAGATTCGAACTCGGGATCACCTGGACCCAAACCAGGTATCTTAAACCACTAGACTATTGTCCCTAACATTTTTTTGTTGTTTTGGGGGTTTCACGCTACATTACTTTTTGTTCCGTTTTTCGCCCAACCTTGACGGCGTCTGGAGCGAAAGATGACTATGCATCTTCGGTATGTTAGTTCACTTTCTACTCCGCCTCAAACGCCTCTTTCCATCACCACATGACCCTTCTCTGTAGCTTTCTTTTCCATCGAGTTATCGACCTTTTCTCATTTCCTTGTGTTCTCCTATACATCTCCTTAAGTGACCACTTCAACTGGTCACTTTCCTCTCATCTTGCTAGTCACTCCATATGTTTTTGACGCATTCCTATACAACTTTCCGCCCTCTTTCCATCGACA